GCTGTGCTTATTTATATGACAGAAACAGGAAATCCCATCTTTTTAAATTAACTGGATCCGACTTTTGACATAACTCACTATTTGGAAGCTCAAACATCTTACTCATGCCGATACCTTGTAGAAGTGGTAAGCAGGGAGCTGGAAGATGCCGATGACGTTGGGGAAATCTCCTGGAGGTCTGTAGGAGAAGATGACGATCTCCAGGCAGCAGGCCAGCAGAGAGCGGTGGAAGATATCCTGCTCCAGAATACACTGAAACACCAACAAACATATGCATTCACGTGTTTTAAATCAACTGGCCATGATCGGTTTGGAGACGACAACAAGTGTGGTGACATAAACGAAGCAGCTACAGCAGGCCGGAGGATCACGGAGAATATGGAGGAAGCATCCAAGAGAAGTTTCTGATGCTGCAGATAAAATAAAAACTTAAGAGGAAGGATTACTGTCTGAAAAGGAGCTTTACAGCGAGGCCTGCCATTTAAAATCAACCGAATCTGAATGAAAAATGCCACCTGAATCCCTCAGAATCAGCTGATTGTCTATGTCCAATAACTTTAGTGTATTAAATGAACCCACAATGTGAAATTAAGTCTGATTTTGCTGCCATATGACTAAAAGTTATGCATCTCTTAATTCATACTAGTCATCAAATCAGACAGAATTCAGGAACAATGTTGCTGCACCGTGTCAGATTTTGTTCACCCATTGGTTATTTGGGGCAAAAAATGTAAAAAAAAAAAAAATTAAGCTATGTAAAATATTTTGGCTTAATTTTGAGAATTTTACGTTTTCAAAATTGTAGATTCACTCGTCTCATCTGAGAAGTCATTTTAAGGATTTAAAATCTTCAAAAATAAAACTCCCACAGACGTGAAATTTGGTGAGGACGCAGACAGAGTATTTTCCAGCAGATCCATATGATCGAAATTTGTAATTATTGGCCCTTGAAAATGAAAAAACTTGCACTTTTTTTTTTAAAGCGAGGGCCCAAGAAAGTTTCTGCAAATTTATATATGAGGATGTTTCCATATGTCCTACTAGAAATAGAGCCTTTGGGCGACATTTCATCAACTTTTGAGGCCTCCAACATCAGCAGAATTTGATTTGTGGCAACTTTGGCAAGACAATGCTCCATTTTGTTGATATGTTTGACTGTAAAAATGGATTCCCAGATGCTCAAATAGTAGAATTTTGAAATGTAATCTGAACCAAATCTGGAACAATGGACAGAAAGTTTGCAAAGGGGGGGACAAGAAAACAGTCCGATGCAGAGTTTTACTTTATACTCACCGACAGATCAGCGTCTCCCAGAATCATCTTCTCTCTCTCGATGATGGACTCCAGGATCCTGTAGTAGAGCGCCTCCGCCAGGTGGAAATACTTCACCGCCATGTCTGCCAGGACAGACTGTGTTCAGACAGGTGGAGGGAGCAGATTGGTTGAACATTTACTAGAGTTTTATTGCGTACCTTTCCCCATCGGCCTGCTGTCTGCGCCGCCGTCCTCGTAGCGCTGAGAGAACAAGTCGAACATGTCCTTCAGGCGCCGGGTGATGACATCACTGGGGTCTCTGGCACAAGTCCTGAACAGAAAACAGGCGAGGTTCGGCTTGTGTTGTTAGGAAGAGCAGGAAGAGAACCCAGAATACTTCATGACAAGTACAAGTCCTCAATGCAGTAACAGTACTCAAGTATTGTCAGCTACATGTAAAGTATCAGCAATAAAAGTACACGAGTTCTAAAAGCTTCAGCAGT